AATAAAAATGACAATGTTTGTGGATTATTATGAACCTTTCATTTATTTTTGGGTTGAAATACTTCTTCCAATTGAAAACCAATTGATTGGAACTTTTGGGTAAGTTATATTATCTCCGATTCTAATTATAAGATCTTATTTATAGACTATAAATAAGGTTTTATAATTAGAACTGGAGGTAGTAAAATTTATCACGCATGATACAAATAAACAATTGTTCCCCAAAAAAAAATCGGAATGAGCATAATTATAATTTCAAAATAAAAAAAAATGCTAGAAAAAAAAGGTATCTTTGATTTTGCATTACTTTGAAAATAGATTGGATTTGCCCAGAGCAGGTTAAGTGAAAGGAAGTTGATTTTGTTTAAGAAGTGCTTTGATTAGCTTTTCAGAGGTGATTTTTAGTGTGTACAAACTAAGTACATGGGAAAAGTTTTATCTTAGAACTTGCATGAAAGCAATTTTTTTAGGTACTTATAGTGTTTTTCAAAACACCCTCTGATAAAAGAAGTCATGTAATACATTGTGAACTTAAAAGCAATAAAGATCAAGCTGGAAAAAATTATTACTTCAGATCTTAAACGTAAGAACTAGTAGAAAAGTTTACTTTGATTTTGCATGCAAAACTTCAATTTATTTTGTTTTTCAAATTCATAATTTTTTTTTAAAATCTCTTAATTAACTGCACATGCTAAGGAGAATTTTCATCAATCGAGTAGTTTACAATATAAATGATTAAAATGGACTTTTTTGGCAAAATAACAGACATTTTTTCACAACTATCTAGTTTAATTAATTTTTCAATATCTATATATTAGTTAGCGAAAGCTTGAAAAAAAAAATAATTCATTAGAAATTTCATTGATGAAAAGAACTTGATAAATTTTTATACGCAAAAACTACCGGTGCTGTGCAAATATTATATATATATATATATATATATATATATATATATATAAAGGGTACCAGACGCCCAACACTTTTTTGACTTTCATCTTTCTCATTAATAAAATTTTAATGAAGGATTTTTTTCCCCAATCTTCTCTACTAGTTATAGGCAGCTCTTTCATATAAGATCAGACGAAGTATCTTTATTAATGACTTGATGATATGAAGTAATTAATTAATAATGCCGATATTTGTGAAGAAGGAGTGGATTAAATATTATAAAATAAATTAAGAGCCTATTCAATGTATAATGGGTGCCAATGTCGTGAGATATTGAGTTGCCTCAATGTCTCAGTGACAATCTTCTTTTGGGATTTGCCTCCAGAATGTATCTGCAGGATGATTCCTGACGCGTGTTGGAGCGTGCAACGAAATCCTTCACGGAGAAGGGAAGGAGGGAATAGATAGGGATGCATGCTCTGCGCTATACCACAAGTCCACAATCCCTTACTAGAAGACCTCAAACCTACTTCCTAACACAGTTTACTCCATCATGCATGTGGCTCTACTGTTGCATGTAGGGTGCGCCCGCAGATGGATCCATGTTATTCTCTATGGCGTGCTATACTAGAGTCATATTCAATACTAATTCCTGTTCTAATTATAAGATTTTATTTATAAACTATAAACAGGATCTTATAATTAAAATTAAAGATAGTACCGTATGGGGTATAGTCGTCTTAAATCACCGGCTTTAATTGTTTGCTTTCTAGTCTGTTTTGTCTCTTTATAATTTGGACTTTTAGTTGTTGTGATGACTTTCTTCTCAATGCGAAATTTCCTTTTTCATTAAAAAAAAAAGGCTATGCATTACAAATGAAATATTACCTTCGGTTCTTAATATAAGATCTTGTTTAACTTTTATTTTGATCATAAATATAAGACTCTAATCCATTTTGTTTATCATATTTATGTATTCTTTTCTCAAATTAATCTTTCTAACAATGATAGTTCTAACCAATATACTTAATTAGTACGGATATTTTAGGAAAGATAATATCTATTTATTACAAATAACTATCTTAACTTCTTTCCTTAATCTTCTCAAATTAGTTAATTAGATCTTATAATTAAGATCAGAGGTAGTATATACCATTTGAATTGTTGAGTTCACTAGTTGAGATCTCATGATGAGTTGGTATTGTCCAGAGAAGAAATGAATTTTATGCATAATTTTCTTTCTTAATTTCTTTTGTCTTTTTTTAACAAACATATAATAATGTCAGTGTCCATGTCCATATTTCTCTTATTATTTCTAAAATATTACATTATTTTAATTCTCCTACAATTATCTCTTATTATTATTTAATCTATAGATTTGGTTAAAGTTGTAAATTTATGTCTTTTTTTGACAAACATATAATACTCTCACTGTCCATGTATTCAGTACTTACAATTGAATGAGGAATACTCTTATCATCTTCTCTTCTTTTAAATTCTCTACTATTTTTTTCCTATTCTTTCTTTAGTTTTATAATAACAATATTTTTTTGGTATAAATATTTTTTATTAAAGACAATCATATTCAAAACTTAATTTATTAATTGCGAGTCACTTCTCTAAATGGAATGGAGATTCAAACCTGTTTGCATGAGTAGCTAGTCCCTTCTCTATTAGACCTGACTTCGAATTCATTGACACTATATATGTCTTAATTGCAAGATTGGACAAGAGACGTGTTGATGGTTTTGCAGGAACGGCCCCATCGGGAGACTTTATCACTTACTGGCATCTATTATTGACACAGCTTATACTCTTTTGTCATATTTCACATGAATAAAAAAATTTAAATTATATTAACTTTTTTAATTTCATATAAATCAATAAATAAAGAAAAATTTTAAACTATATTAATTTTTTTATAAAATATAATAACTTTTTAATTTTACTCATATTTAATATGTATACTTTTTAAAAAAATAACTATCCAAATTATAATAAATTAAAGTTAAAATAGTACATTATATTAACAATTTAATAAGGTGATTTATAAATAGGATTAAAAAAGTATTTTCTCCGCCTTATAAATAAATAGGACCATAAGAGTAAGCATTGGACATAATGATGTGTCACATTGTATTTAATATAAGTTTTGAAAATTAAATGTAACTAAGCTTCAATGTATTTTGTTTATATATACTCTTCTGATCTTATTTATAAGGCACTTCCAATATGTTTTATACAGTATTTTTACATAGACAAAAAAAAAATCTTAAACTTTATTAACTCTAAATTAAAATTTAATAACTTTTCAACTTTATCCCTATTTAATATACATTATATCTCGTATAAACAAAATCAATACAATAATAAATTAGGAGTAAAATTATACATCCATACAAAAAATTCTCTCAGTGCCTTATAAATAAGATCAAAAAATGTCTTCTCTATCTGTCATATAGATATGACCAAAAGAGTAGTTAACTACAACTATTAAACAAATGCTTTTAAAGAGTTCCATATTATGTATATGTATATTGTGAAAAGTAATTTAATAGCATAAAATTTTGGGTTAATTCAATTTTCAGTCCCTGAAATTTGCTCTAATTTTGGTTTTGATTCCTCAAATTTCCAATCATAAGTTTTACTCCCTCAAATTTTTTTTATTTAAAATGTTATCCTTCCAATTTAATAAAAATGTGAACGATTTTGCTTTTTGAGGTAAAACCTATGATTTAAAACTTAAAGAACTAAAACTAAAATGAGAATAAATTTAAGGAGCTAAAAATTATATTAACCTTAAAATTTTTTTATACTTTATTAAATCATAGGTTCCCTTTAAAATCTTGATATTAAAATATTTATGTATAAATAGGTATTTAAGGTGTGCATCTACATGCATTATAAGTCTTTTCATATGCAGAACACGATAATATTTTTATTTATCATCTTTTAATATGCGTAACACAATAATAATTTTATCTATCAGTCTCATGTATATTGATATTTCGCCAAACCACTTAATTTATATGGATAATATTTTTTTGCCAACACATGGATAATATATTATTGAAGATTGTCCATGTTAAAAGGAAGAGCGAGAATCAAATAGAAAAGCGGAAGATATTCTCGGCATGACACGCTGAAAGACTAAAAAATGTAAAGATAAAAAGCCGATGCTTCAAGAACTTATGAAAATAATATAAATTTAAAGTATATTCTTTTGCTGAAAGCTTTCAAAAGTTTTATTTGAAGCAAATATCATAGCAATATCATCTTGAAAGTTCACAAAATATAGTAATGTTAGTTGAATTTAACTGATCCAAGCTTATAGTCTAGGCTCACTTTGAGTAACAATTCATGAATAGTTTGCACTTTTATTCTTATAAGAAACATTTACAAGATATCTAAAAGATTTTAAACTGGTTTTCTATTTTATCCTAATTAATCACTTATTTTAACACTCAATATATTTATTATTTTATTTTTTGAAATATACTTTTTTTTTTTTATTCTCCATCTCATACTCTCTTTTCATGTAAACAAGGATATATTTTGAAAAGCTATTTAAAAGAAAATGACAAAAAATACGTATTGTATCTTAAAAAAACAAATAGGTCATGAACGGTTCTTGTTATAGTTTCGAAAAGTTAAAATCTGTAAAAAGCATTTTCTATTTTTTTTAGAAGATTACAGTTTGTACATGTTTATTTTTTTGGAACTAATTTTAACTAATTAATTATTCTTACATAAAGAGACTCAGAGATTAGTGGAGGGAAATTTTCCTTTACTTTTCCAAATTTTTGAATCTCCATTCTTCAAGTTTCATCCAAAAAGAATGAGACGTGTCCAGCTAAGCATATGAACTGAAGCACCATCTTCTTGTTCATGAAGGTAGCAATTTTTTCCAATAACATCTCACCACGTGTCCTAGTATAATTGGCAAAATGACGTTAACAGGGCCAGCGCCATACTCGTAGCATTAAATGATGGCAACGCTACCCACAGCTTCTGCCCCCTCATTTAATTCATGAGCAGACTCCTCACATCAGATGACACATATATCCCCACCCTCACCAGCGAGCGCGTGAATCACACCGATTGAAAGAAAATACAGGGAACACCATTCACACTTCCGTTTATTTTATATTATAATTTATCTTAGATTTCATCAAAATATTAAACCAAAAAAAGAAGCAATTTTCTGTCACTAATTGAGAATGCAAGGGTTGACCTGAGTCAATACCCGAACCACCACCCTTGCCTTGCGCTAAAGATCCGGATCATATGAGTTTCGGATCCTTGCCACCATGCAAGGACTTTGTTCTCTTTCTTGTTGATTCCTGTGCGGTTCGTTCTTGACTCAACACCCCCACATGAAACCCAAACTCGCGTCTTCTACACGCGCCACCCTGACAAATTAACTAAGCTGAGCTTTCAAGAAATTAAATAAGCACAAGCGCCCCTACGAAAAGCATATCAGCGAAACCCCAAAAAAAAAAATTCAACTAGGTCACGTGACCTACGATGCACCACGTGAGAGTCAGCTTTCACAGCGAAGAGCGGCCTTTATTTTCTGAACCGTACACGAGATGAGATTGTTCACCGTCTCCACCGATTCCACCGTGAGCTTGGCCGTAGGAAGGCTATTCACGAGGATTTGAAAAGCCACCGTCAGGAGGGACCCACTCACCCTCTCATTCACGCCACCGCCGTTCACATTCCCGTTGCTCGCCGGCGTTTGTGACCCCCGCGACCCTGGCCCATCCGGGACTATAGCGAACCCGGATGGCAACAACGCCACATACGCCGAGTCGCCGCCGTTCATCACCACGTGCATGGCCGGGATATCTACCGGCGCGTACACCACAAGAGATCCCGCCGCGTCTATGCATGTCTCCTGCAGTATCAGCATGCTACTCTGGTTTGCATTCATCGCCTGCGCAAGAAAATAAAACAAATTAAATTGCTTTTGTCTCCATCGTTAAAGTTCACAACGAGCCATAGTCAAACCCGGGGACCATATTTTTATTTCGATTATTTATTTATTTCTCCTTTATTTTGGGGGGGGGTTAAAAAGGTTAATTCACAAATTATAGTATTTTTTTTTCAAGCAAACAGGTCAGAGAGTTGCTCAGAAATTCAGAAAGTTGACAACCGTCCTATATTTTGACTTTTTTCATCAAACCTTGCTCCGAAACAAACACCGCTGCCCTATTTCTGTTCCCCTCCTTGTCCACACAGATACTTCCAAATTTCCCAACCTGCCCTTCCCGATTTCACCTTTTTAACCAAACACCATTACACTAAACGACAACGCCCTATTGACCTTGCCTCACATCGCAGGGTATTTTCGTCAATAGAAAAAATTCCACATGCAAGAGTGAGAAGAATGAGAGAGAAGGTCGTACACTCGCTCGTAGGAGAGAGACGCAATTGCCGTGGTCTTGGCCTTTGGCGATGTGGGCCATCTCTTGCATGGGCCCACCGTTTGAGAGTATGTCCCATTCACTTCGGAGATGCTCATCACGTAGGAAATCGAACAGTCTCTGGGGCGAAACCGGGAGCCAAACGGAGGTGGCTGCGCTTAAAACTATCCCCGGCGGCTCGCCGGGATCGTCCACGCTCTTTCGAGTCATCACCCGGACGTCCTCGTCCACGTTGCCGGCGTTCAGTTTATTCCACTTGTGCACGGTGGAAGCGCAAACTCCGGCGCAGAAATTGTTGGTCATTCGCTGGGCTAGCTTCAGCATGCTCCGCCGGCCGCCGGCAGTTATGGCAGCTAGAAACAACCCAAGAAAACTCAAGCAGTTCAGAGAAAAATACAACACTTGTGAACACTAATACAAGGAATTATTTTTAATAATAGATGAGATAATTATTAATATACGCCGGCGTTGAAACTTACCGGAGTGATCTCGAGAGGGGACGGAGGAGGACATTAAGATGGCGAGGCACTCGCATTGGCGTTGCAGGGTGGCGACCCACCGTTGAGCACCGAAGCCCATGCCGGAGGTCAGCAAGGGTCTATACAATTGGTGGACTTGGCTTTCATCGTATTCTGCATGCTCCACCCATGTCACCTGTAAAATCATGCAAAACCAGTTAACTCCATTAATGGCGTAAGTTTTCAGAATGTGAAGTTTTTATCGTATTTGTAATATCCAATTAAGAATTTATTATGAATTCCTCACAGGATCGTGTTTTAGTAGAGAAAGTTTGGACTTTTCTGATAGAGCACTAATTTCACGATGATCTTGTACAATACGTACACTGAATTCACATGGGGTTCTCCAGATCAAGTACATCAAGAGGATTACAGGAAATAAAATAATCGATTTTCAAAATATTATAGGAAAAACTAAAAAGGAAGAGAAAGCAGATTTTTCTTCCTGGTATTACGATTGGCTCAGATGCGTCCAAAGGATTAAAAAGAAAAAGAATTGAAGCTATTTCTTCAAGGTTCAAGCTAGCTTAAGCCGTCTCACGAGGGATGGAGGAAGAAGATGACAGAAAAATACAAAAAAAAAAAAAAAAAGCAAAAGAAATCTGGGAAATGTGCCTGAGGATTGGGTTCAATGAAACTAGAGCAACAAACACATAAAATATTTGCTACGTCATGCGAAAAAAGGAGAGGATTTAGAGGAGCAGCGAGCACTGTGAAGAGAAAGAAGCGACATCGAGATTTGCTCTAAAGAAATGAACAAAATAGCCAGTCTTCGACTTTGACTTCAAGGCTCTCTTACAATATTAATTATATATATATATATATATTACACACACACACATGCAACAGAGCTGCGGATTATAGGGGCTAGCTAGCTTAGAAAAAGATGAATAAAATATTGCTTCAAAGAAGACCACTGATTCACCCAGCATCAAAAACTAGAATAGAAACATCATATTCATTGTTTATAGAATCAAGGATTAAGTAACGGGATTAATAATTAATGTGTTCAGGGTTCAGAAATTTAAGTAAAAGATTAGGCTCTTAGTAAGGAGAAAATAATAGATTAATAATTAATCTCGATTCTGCCCCTCATGAGAGCATATTATTATTATAATACTATTATTCAATTACAATTATATATTATATAGGATCACAATCGCAATCCATTGCTGAAAATCCAAGTTAGGAATATATTAATGAGACCAAAAGAAGCATCCTACTCAGGTGCAGATGCTTTGACTGTCTAAAATATAAAATAATATATATATTTGGGAATTATCACTGACAGAGTGGTTATGTGGTGGGTAGTCACTAGACAAATTAAGCTAGGTTCCTTCGAACCATGAGCTCCTTAAATAGCTTCGAAAAGCAAAAGGAAGAAACCCCATGATTCCTTCGCCTGGTGTTTTGCCTCTCTTATTTCAAAACTAAAAAACAAGGCTATATATTATTCACAATTTATTTATTAATATAAAATATAAAAATTTATTAACAATGTACTGAATTCATTTCAGTCTCCAGATAATAAACGGAGCACTGGGTTTTGTTATGCATTTAATTATTAATCATTAAACAATGTAAATATATGTGCATGGTTTGATCCTAGGTCATTAAAGAGAACACCGAGATAAAGAATAAACACATGGGATACACAAATACTACCTCATTTCCTTAGCATGATAAGCATTTGATTAATTTGAGAAAGATAAATAAATTACTTAATCATAACATATGTTACTAGATTTTTCTTGCATATTTTATATATCATTTATAAGTTAGACAAATTAATTTAAAAAATAAATATAAATATTTTAAAGTATTTTTTTAAAAACTAAGTCTTGTATCCCAAGAAAACATCAAAGCGGGTGAAAAGGGAGGTTCAATTTGGTAAATTCACTCATGTCCAAAACAGATATGACCCAATGTGGTACAGAGATGAGGTGACATTCATGCGTCAAACCCACCAGAAGGAAACACAAGTTCAATCAATAGGAAACTTATAGGATCAAAATATGAAAAAGATACTAACTGGGAAAATTCTACTACTACTGACCTTGGAATAACCATTTGGCATATCTTCAACAACGCACCCAGAAGGAAGCCTTCTACAGTTCATAAAAGACGCAGCTCCAGAAGGTTCTCGAATGTTATCAATGGAGACATCAACCACAGCCCAAACCCCCTCTGCGTGTTGCTTGCAGAAACGAAGAAAATTCACCTCGCGAACTGGCACCAACGGCGAAAGAACCTGGAGCTCAGCATGCATCTGCGAATTCCAAGTTTTTTTTCCGTATAAAACACTCAAATCAGTAACATTCTTTACATGTTAATCTTCTGAAAAAAGACAAGTTTCTTTTCAAGTTTTACCAGTTGGAGGGCACCATTTCTAGTTCCATTTATTCCACCGGAGATTACTTCAGCGGTGGAGGTTCTGGCAATTAAACAAGGAAACATTTCTGCCCATCGATTCTATAGAAAAATAAAGCAAATGGGTTTGGTTCAGACTTTGATTTCACCGTAAAATGTGAAAAGAAAAAAAAAAAGGAATTTGAAGGTGATGAATATATAAATATATCTATATATTATAAACTTACTGAATCCATTAGAGTTTCAACGAGGGCCAAGCTGTTTATTATGACCATTCCAGTTTCTCTAGAAGCTTCGGAGACGAAGCCATTTGGTCTCATTCCAATGCAAGGATTACTGAATGTTCTCATGTACTCTTCTTGGTTCAGAATCTCTCTTCCTCCTTCTTCTAAGCTTCTTAACCAGAGAGGTTCATCTGTATGCACCATCTTCACCAACTCGTCCATGGCCGCCAAAGCTAGTTCCAGAAACATAGACCTCTCTATGGACCTGTCAAGCCCACCGCCGACGACCAAAGTGCCCGATGGTCTGGTCAAAGTCGTCCCCGACGTTGTTGTCGCCGGAGGAACCATGGCTAGTTGGCTCGATATCCCAAAACCAGGCCCTAAAGGCAAAGTTGAAGGCACTGTGCTCATACCATCAAACCCGTTGATGCCAACTCCGAGTTCTAAGCTTGAGTTTGGCAATGGAGGACCAATCGGACTGGTCAATGAAGAAATGGGTCGGCCGAGAAACTTTCCGGCGAGAGCACAAACTCGGTCTAGTTCGTCCTTCAATCGAGCGTTTTCAATCCTTAGGTGTTGTTCTTCGAGGGAAATCTCACCTATAATGGCTGGGCCTCCACAATTTGAACATATAGGATTCCTCATGGCTTCTCTTATCGACATGTTCTCTGCTCTCAGTTTATCGTTCTCTTGTCTCAGCAAAGTGTTTTCATGGCGCTCCAATTGGGTCTGAGACGAAACAGAAACATAAGTATCGCATATACCTCGTTGAACCCGAACACGAAAAACATGTCCAAGAGGATATTAGTCGTTACCTTCATCTGGGTTCTTCGATTTTGGAACCAAAATTTCACTTGTCTGGTTTCCAAGCAAAGCCTTCTGCTCAGTTCTAGTCTTTGCTTCTCATCTGGGTGTGGACACTCCTTGAATAAACTAAACCCAAGGGGAAAAAAGGACAGTAAGGATTGAACAAGAACCCAGAAAATTCTGTGTGATAAAATTAGAGAGAGAGAGAGAGAGAGAGAGGAACTGGGAGGGAGATCATACGCTTCGAGCTCTTGTATTTGCTGAGGGGTATGTCGGTGATAACGTTTTTTCCTCGGACGGTTGTCGGCGGCGTCCTGATCGTCGCCGGAAGTGGGGCCTTCCATATTATCACTGCCAGATCTGCTATCGTGTTCTTCTTCTCGGCTTCTTCTTGCCCCAACATTTGGCTCGTAGCTCTCAGGCATTCTATTCGCATCCCCTTGTTGCTCGTCAAGACTCGTTTGCTTTATCCAAAAGAGAATCCAAAAAATCAAATAAATAAACAAACAAACATACAAACAATATATAGTACAACCCCCAAAAAGTGAGGGAATAATTAACGAAGGAGATCTCACCAGTGCTAGAGAAAGCCCAGGAGAGTTGAACATGGATTTGGCCATTGTTGGCGGTGTGACGAGACGAGGCTGTGAGATTGAACCACTCGACGGCATTCTATTATCGTTGGTGCCGTTGCTGTAAGGAATATCGGCGACGATTCCGGCACCGCCGCCGCCCCCTCCTCCGCCGCCGCCAGCACCACCACCACCCCAGTTATTGTCGAGAAAACCCCCAAAACTCATCAAAGAAGCCACTTTTTCTCCTTCTTCTTCTCTTTCCTCTCAAATCCGAAACTCAGTATGAACCGCTCAGTCTTCCGTACATGAGATTCGATGCAAATTCAGCAACCCCAGAAGTTTTAAACCTCTAAGATGAAATGGGGTTTCGAGAAATCAGAATCGACCTCGAGTGCGTGTGGGGGGTGTGTGTATATTAAATTTATCTATATAAAAATATATGTTAAACTATGTATTCGCTCTCGCTTGACAAGACTGAGAAAAACGAAGGATATGAAGCTCCGAAAATATAAGGGAGAGAGATAGAGGAGACAAAAGGATAAAGCCCCCCAATGTCTCACCTTTCTCTCTCTCTGTAGCTTGAAATAAAATGTCTTCCTTTTGTGTGTATATATAATTCACCTTCTATTATTGAGAGAGGAAGAAAGAGAGAGAAGACAAGCTGAGAAGAAGGAGAAGAAAAAAGCCCTCTGATTCCAGCTAGCTCGCCTCTTCCTTCCCTATCCCCCTCTCTTTCTCTCTCTACATATGCATATGAACATGACCCTATCCTTCACAGTACAGCAATTTCTGATAATACCCAGAAGAGAGAAGAAGGGAAGAAGGAAAATAAATAAATAAGAACCCTAGTCTTCAGTGTGGTGTGTTATCTCGCTCTATGCATGCTTGACGGGGAGAGAGAGAGATATAAAAATTATGAATAAATTAAACAAAAATAGGGGTAGAAAAGGGGGGCTCATAGATTTGCGAGCAGAAGAGAGAGAAAGGGGGGAGAGCAGAGAGAGCGAGAGTGGGGAAAGGGGGAAAAGATAAAACGTAATATGTGGAGTCTTCGAAGCCTTACAAATACATATGAATCCAAAAAGCGCCGGTTGACTTACACCCTCGTCAATCTCGTTTTAACTTTCCCTCCCCAACCCCACTCTGAGCCCTCTCTCCCTCACAGTTTGATTTCTTCCCCGCGAGAGAGCCCTTTGAAGAAAAAGCCTGTGAATGACTGTGAAAATTGCAATCGACCTTTTTGATGACTTTTTGGGAGAAAAATAACAAGAAAACGAAGTTTCAATGACGAAGAAGATGCTTTGTTAGAGATCCATGGGGCTGGATCTTAATTTGGGATTCTCAATAATAGTAATAATAATAATAATAATAATATTATTATTATTACATTATATGATGTACTAATTACTCCCAACAAAATTGTTAGATAATTTAGATTGTTTTTTGGTCTTAAATGGCAGTTTCTTCGTAAGTAAGGAAAATTGTATTCTGTCACCAAACTGGATACTAAACTGGAGTAGGAATTTAAGGGTCAGTTAATTAAAAATAACAAACTATAATAATATTAATAATTATTAATAACAAAATAAAAGAAAATATAATAAGAATTTCATTGTAACAATAACAAGGTACAATAACATTAATGATTTTAATCTTTATGATTCATCAATAATTAAAATTAATAATTATTATTATCAAAATTATCATTAAAATTTATTCAAATCTACAGTAACTAAAATATTAAGAATGGCAACATAATTATTCAAACCGATTCACATCAGTTTTTACTAGTTCAACTCTTGCTTGGCTTAAAAATCAAACCAAACTAAACCACCGGTTAGTTTATCAGTTTTTTAGTTAAACTGATCGCTTCGGTCTGGTTTTTTTTTTTCTTGCTCTTGTCACAATTCAAACCCAACTACTAAAACTTAATATTTTATAAAAGTATTGTTAAAAATAATAGAATCTACATACATAAAATTAAATCATCAGAATTTGAATAGGATGTGACTACAAGAGAAAAATATGAAATAAAAAAATTGAAAATGAAACAATTGATGTAAGAAGTTTCGATTTTAGGAAGGTTATAATAGTTTTTAAAAAGTTATTATTTTTAGCATCTTTACTGATTTTTGAGAATCGAGTACAAATTGTCAGAATTGAACGGCAAGATATGGATACATCTTTCAATTTTAAGAAAGACTAGGGTGTAATTTTAATCTTAAACTTATATTTTAAGCGTAATTTTGTTCTTGATTTTTTTTAGTGGTTCAATTTTGATTCTGATCTTCTTTTTGGTACATCCAAAAATCAGAAGCAAAATTATACTAGAGAAAAGAAAGATCAAGAATAAAATTATACCTGAAAAATAAAATCAGAGGTAAAATTATATCACTAAAAAATTAGGAGTAAAATTATACCTGAAAAATAAAATCAAGATCAAAATTGCACTTTGACCTTTTTAAGAAAGTTCAAAGTGATCATTATTTTTAAATATATTATGAAAATTCAATATAGAATATTCAATACACACACAAAAAACAAAAACCCAGAATCCAGCTTTTATTTTTAAACATTTAATATAACTTTTTTCGAAGCACCATTTTGATGGATAAATTTTAAATGTCATAAATCATAAAGGCATACTGTCTCAAAAGTATTATTTTTATACTGATGTGTAAATAAAAACAATTTATTTAACAACAAAATAAACTATGAATTTTAATCAGTTAAAAAATACAACTTGGTAAAAACGTTAATTTGGGGGGAAAAAAAACTTATTGTGCTTTAATAAGTAAAACTTCAGAAGGAAGAAGGTCAAATTTAAAATCTCGAGAATCATTTGTTCAATGGTTGAACGGCAGCGTAACATTAACAAGTATAGATAATATTTTTAATTATTGTTTTAACCTTTTTTGAATATTTTAATTATTGAAAAACTAAAACAAACATCAGTAACATTTTTGTTTCTACAATAATAGGATTAGAAAGAAATAAAGCCCCTGATGTCATACTTCTCATACGTAAATGTTAAATTCACATTTTGAAGCTATCGTCATTGAGTATAAAAAATAGAGTAAACTATCATTCAACGTCGTGATGTGAAAAATTCCGCCAAAATACCTTCTAACTTTCAAAAACCAAAAGGCTAACACCAATTTTCAAAATTTCAAATTAATTCATCTGATTAAAATAAAATTTTGAAATGTTGGTGATTTTATAGTATTAACCCTTGCTTTAAAAAAAATATATTTTTAAAGTTAAAAGACCAAATTAAAACATTATATAAACTAAAAAGACCATAAATATATTTTAACCTATTTTTTAACATGATCATTTTTGTATAGTTATCTTATATATAATTTTGCATTATATTAACAGAGGCTTGTTGTTTCAATGGACATTAAACCATTTGGGATTCGATGGGGGGACCTTGACCACCGTGGCTCCGGGCAAAAAATAAAAAGTTATTGGTGTTAGAGCTCGGTTCTGATCTCTTTTTCCTTTCCATCCTTTTTGTTTTTTTTTAACTCTTAGATTAATGTTTCAATAGTTTAGATTTAAATCTTTTTAAAATTATTATTAAAATATTAAATTATAAAAATAAATAATAAATTACAAAGTATACTAAAATTTAATTTTAATGATTTAGCAAATATACTAAATATTTTTTAAAAAAATTTTGATAAGCAGTTTATAAAAAAAACTAAAATCTGAACCTCTAAAATATGTTGATCCAATAGCTGGGGAAAAAAAAACAGAGAATAGGCAGGGGGAGAAGTTTGGTGGCCAGTCGATAGTGGGGCTGTTGGCAATGATGATTTGATTTTTTTTTTTTTAAATAAGAGGTAATTTCAAAATTATATTTTAGTCATGAGTATTAATTTTGGAATTTTGAAAATTGGAAGCACCATTTTAGGTTTTAGAAATTCATAAGATATTTTTATTGGAATTTTCTAAACATAGAAATAGAATAATTTTAAGTAACTTAATAAAAAAATTTAAAAGTAAAATTATAAAACTTCTTTAAATTTTTAATCATTTATAAATAACTTCCGTAAGTATGCGCTGATAACTCTCATTAATCAATTACTATATTAAATTATAATTTTGTGCACATTTATTACCTGCTCAGATTTTGAATTATATGTGGATAACTTCTTTAAATTAACTTTAAATTATGTGCCAACGAGTAATAAACAAAATTATTAATTGTATAAAACTTACACATATAAATGTAAGAGTTTAGGAGTTCATTATAGAGTAGTTTCTTTTCTTGTTTTTGCCAATTATGGAGTAGCCTCAAAAGTCAAGGAAATTATCTATATATATGTGACATAAAGTTTAGGCACATTGCGTATAATTTAGCCTCAACAAAGTTAAAATTAAATAACTTAAGAGGGGTATTATGAAGCATTAGAGAGACTGTAGAATCTCATATTATTTTTTATTTTTCACATTTCAAATGATAATTAAAATCCCTTTTCTTTTCAATTCCCACGCAAATTCATGTAGCCCATCCAGTTTTTCAAGAAATTAATGTGTTGAACAAGCTGGCCAACAAAAAAATAGTGTGCTGAACAAGAAAATGAATGTTGAACAACAACTCTTTTCATCTATATATGAAATAAATTATTGTAATGTCATAATCATATATTAATTTGATTCTTAATGTATCCATGTGATTCCATCAAACCTTTTTATTGCTACTTCTTCCATATGTTTTCACATTTTACTTAATTATATCCCAAATAACCACATAATTCTTACCCATACACATACTTTTGTAAAATTAAAGATAAAAGTTTGTCTTAGTTTTCCCTTGCAAAATCCATCGCTAATTAATTGTCGTCTTGGATGAATTGGTTGCTAATAATTCTGTTTTCTTGTTGTGGTATATTAATGAATGTTGAAATATCAAAAATCAAAATTTCAATATGAAAGTTTTTGTGTAAAAATATACTCATCGGATCTAAATGCATGAGCCAGATAACCAAAATTTGTAAAGATTAGTAAAATTAGTTAAATTATTTATTGTTAAAAATATTTGTTGGTTTGTTTGAAATATCTCTTTTTATTTATTTACATTGGAAACTACTTTGACTATGTGTAAATTAATAAAGAGAATTTATAAAAAATTATAAATTTAAAAGATAAAGTGGATTAATATTTCATATTTATTAGGATCAAAAGTAACTCTTGTTAATTTTTATATTTAGGGCCAGACGAAGCATATGGAAACAATTATTGAAAAGGCCTTTTCTTATTACATAAAAACATAAATCAATTTAAAGAAGTGAACCATGGTAGGAAAGATTCAATCGTGACACGAAGGCTATCACGGCTAAAAGAGGCCATTTCTCAAATATTATATTTTTCATAAAATCATGCTTTCTCAAACCCATAAACATCACATAAGATTCAAGGCTCCTAAAAACACCCACAAGTCCAACAACAAAAACAACAAGGCACAAGGCACATTAATCGCCTACAACTTATTAAAATCATCAATCACAAGACTTAAGGCACAAGACCCAAAGGGCTAAGCATAGCTCATAAGTCATACACGTGCTTACTCCAAATAATCACAACACATTAACAATTATCAACACATAGAAGTTTTCCAAAATAAGTCGATTGTGAATCCACAAGATAGTCACATGCAATAATATCCTATAGCCTCTAGCCATTCTAACAGCATTCTACTAGATACAATTATCCAACAATCAGATAAAAAGTAAGTATATGTCATAAAACATAAGCCCTAAATGACAATATTATATATAAGTACAATCCCAAGCCATAAAAAACCTATTAGGCTATGCATGCCTATACCTTTAGCTACCTCCTAAAAACAATGAAGAACAATGAGATAAGACATTAAGTCCT